ACATGATGCAGGGAATTCCGGTGTAATATCAAGCCGGCTTCTTTTGTTTGAATGAACTGAATATAAGAGATTCGTAAATTGGCCTCATCAATTGAGCGAAGAACTATCTAATTTGCTATTCACCGATTCCATATGTGCTGACCCGCAGTGTCAAACATCGTCGGAGCGAGAAATCGTCATCTGACAAACCTTACCGGACGTAAGAACAATACAAACCTGGCTACTTTTGATAGCGAAAAGCTGAAGTTCCAATGAGGCATTCGAATTGGTCACCTTCTTCATAGTTTACGCTCTAGTCTCTCAGGAGGCTTATATGCTTTGCATGCACACAATGCTAGTATGAATAAGTAACAGAATAAGAGATAATCTTGAAGAATTATACCTCAGATGAGTGCGATGACTAAGATGCTGCTTATTAATTTCGTATCGGATGCACCAATCTGAGAGGGCATGCCGGCAAAGACGGAAAGTAGATGACCAAAATGTCCAAACTAATTGCCATAAATTCAAGGCAATCCTTCTGTTTTTCGTTTTATAAGTTTTCGAGACCGCCAGTAGATCATATACATGAGATGAATTCTTCTTAATTCGTTAAGGTGAATAGTCCTTATGTATACATTGAATTTCCAATTGCCTTGGTTCCCAGAAGGTGTTGTCGTCCAGGCTGGGATGCAATTCCGAACTCGCCTAGGTCTCATCTTCACCCCCAACGGGACTCAAACCCAGGTCATTGTCGTGCAACGTACGGTCACGACAAATTAACCACTTCTCCGTATTTCTAAGAGTTATCCTTGGACAACAGGGCTAAAGTGAATTTCAAGGAAGCCTAAGTCTTTAACATATCACTTTCTGTGTTGGGATTTTTGACGAGGCAAAGTTGTATTTGACCTTGTTTTCGCAACATGGTCATATCGGTAGGAAGACTTATTGGAACGCACCTAGTCCGGGCTCCATTGTCTGCATGATCATTTCCAAAGTTGAACAGTTGACGTGGAACATTCCCAAACATTTCGCCGGCATCGTAGTCGGCATCGTCAGTGAGTATCGCCATCCTAAGCACCATACAGCCGGTAGCCCGACTACCGGAAACGCGGATAACCCAGGGCGGAAGGGGGGATACCATAATTGTTTAGCATACGTTTAGTCAAAGGACAGGCTTCACTTGTCTCTTTGACGAGTAGCTGTATGGTGCTTAGGATGGCGATACTCACTGACGATGCCGGCGAAACGTTTGGGAATGTACCACATCCACGGTCCTACTCTGGAAACGATGATGCATACAATGGACTCCGGACTAGGTGTGTTTCTTTAAGTCTTCCTACCAATATGACCGAGTTGCGAAAACAAGGTCAAACAACTTCTATTCTATTGTAAAGTTAATGTTATTTTCACGCTGGTTAAGTGAAAATAGGAAACTATCTAAAATATCCTTACCATGCTGCCAGATCACAAAATAAGCATCCAAACTTAGCCATATAGTAATGCGCCAAAATTGGAGCCAAGCAAAAACCCATTGCAAATCCTTGTGTCTGTTCATAAAACTTACTATCAAAAGTGAAATATGCACTGCTCACGGATAGGTTAAGAAGCCTTTGAATGGAGGCTATAGTCAACTTAGAGGTTGTTTGACCTTGTTTTCGCAACTTGGTCATATTGGTAGGAATACTTGAAGGAGTCTATTGTATGCATGATAATTTTCAAAGTCGGACCGTGGACATGGTACATTTCCAGACGTTTCTCGGCATCGTAGTCGGCATAGTCTGTGAGTCTCGCCATTCTTAGCACCATAGTACAGCCAGTCAACTTAATTATCTTCATAATCTCTGAACGCTCCTCCAGGTTGAGCATTATAGCCTGAATGGCTCCTTGGACTGGAATATTTGTGTACATTGACGCCATGCCCAAACCTACTAATATGTCTTATGAAATATTTCGCCGGTCCACTAGTTTAGGAAACTCACCGATTTTTAACCAAAAATAACAAACAATTTGGTCACTTCTTTAATTGTCTGCATAAAAAACGTGAGATTTTATGCATAAAAATACCCTTATTGTTAACATTCAATCTAAGAGGAAACCCTTCTTTATGCACCTTTGGAAGGCCAATGGTGCCCTAGTATCGCTTTAAAGTAGGGAATTCATTTACCGCTTTCCCATTTCCCCCACTATTTATGCATACCTTCAGAGCATCTCTTAGCCTAGTTTTAAATCCCTTTGTAGGATCTTTCTTTAGAGATGTATACGTGCCGGCTTGAACGAAAACTCAACCTATCTTTGCTTAAAAGAGAGGATATCTCATGGACTGCATCAAACTGAACATCATATTAAGGCCAAACAGCTGCCGTACAACGCTGATCAGCCGACGTTTTCTGGCGAGATTGACCTACGAATCTCTTCAACATGTACTTCCATACGAAACGAACGTATTTACAACAATCTTATCTCAATGAATTCTTCAAAACCCTCATTTTCTTCGTGTATCTTTGTAGTGTTGATTCGACCTTGTTTTTGCAATTTTGTGGGAGCGTTAGAAACCTTGTGGAACGTACCTAGTCCTGTGTTCTCTGCCATAGTATTCGTGGCTTCAAGCATTGGACCATTAATTTGCCACATTCACAAACGTATCGCCGGCATCGCCAGTGACAGCTACAACTTATCAAAGTGACAAGTCTTTAGCATGCTCACTGTTTCCTCATAGTTCATTAATGTTAACTTCCACTTCATGATGTCTGCTGACCTTTTCCAATTACATTTTTATGGCCAAAACCACTGGT